GGCGGTGGTGGCAGGGCAGCAGGGGGGCCAGTGGTGACTAGGCTGGTTGCGTCAGGTGTGGTGGGGGGTGTGGCATTTGGCTCAGGAGGAGGACAAAGTTAGGTTGGAGATAGGGGACCTCGCAATTAGCGAAGGGTTTCCTCTGCCAAGTGGGTTCCGTGGACCTCCATGGTTTCCATATGATGTTTAGATCAGTTTCCAGGAACGAAAACATTCCTTTCGGATCCTGCCATATTTGTATGTAGGAGTCGCGGATCGCTTGTCTGGCAAGGGGGTCTTTCTCTTCGAAGTGTTGTTGCTTCATGGACTTCCTGGCTTGTTGGGTCGCGGCCCTGATGTCTTCCACGATGGCTTGTTGTGCCTGTTGCAGGCCAAATTGGTGGTAATTAATTTCGAAGGAGCATCTGGCTCTCCAGGCAAGCATGAGGAGGTGCAGCATTGTGTAGGAGAACAGGTTGGTTGCAAAGGGGGACCATTGGGCCAACAATTGTCGCTTTTCTCCAAGTAGCAGGAGCCCAAGATCCCAGGGGATATGGTAGCCATTGAGGGAGTGGAAGGATGCATCCCACCACCGCCACAACTACCAAACGGTCGTTGAGATGACGTTGTTAATTGGTAACGCCCGCCCTACCAACGAGGTGTGTAGGCCTTCCCATTTTGTCAGTCGGTCCACTGCCATATTGACTAGTGTGTCCCCATGGTCCTACAAGGGCCCCAAAGTAGTGAGTCTCACCCCCAACACCCTAATTCCGTCTTCCTTACGGGCCCAGACCACAGCCGGCTCGGTCGCAGGGGGGTGTCCCTACGGGTGGAGCCACCAACCCTATGTCTTGGATCCCCAATTGACTCTCATGTCAGCCGCCAGGGAGAAGAGATGTATAACTTCGGTGAGGGTTTGGAGGTTGGCCGAGTCTGCACGTAAAGGGACGGTGAGGTCGTCCGCAAACAACGATGTTACCGGTAGAAGATGATGAGGTACGTCAGGGATAGGCACCTTGCTAATGTGTGGGTGGGATCTAATTAGCGATGCAAGGGCCTCCATGACTATAACAAACAACAACAGTGTTGTGGGTTCATCTTGACGTATCGGCCTTTGAAGGTGTATCGATGGAGAGAGGTGACCATTGAGCATTATGTTCGTTGTGGGCCTTGTGGCTGATCTGTATAGCAGTTGCACCCATCGGTAGAAGGTCGAGCAAAGTTCATCCTAGCGAGGCACATGTCCAGGAAATCCTAGTCCACGTGATCATACGCATTTTCTAAGTCTATAAAAGGGATTGCAGCTTGGGCTTTTCGCTGTCTGACGTATTTTATGGTCTCGTTGACAAGCAGGATGTTATCTTGGATGTTCCGATTGGGCATAAAGCCTTTTTGGTCCGGTTGGATCAGTATGTTCATGAAGGGCAGTAGTCTGTTTGTCAGAGCTTTGGCGACCAATTTATACGGGATGGGGAGAAGAGTAATAGGTCGGTAGTTTCTAATGTTCTATTTATCCTTTTTCTTATATACGAGGGTTGTGACCCCTTGTCCGATCATTCCTTCAAACGAGCCCTCATTCTGCACCGCCCTCACTCAAAAGATTTCAGAATTGTACCCAGAATTCCTTAGGGAACGAATCTATCCTAGGTGTCTTCTCTTCTTCCATGCCTTGGAGCCTTTTGGAGGGCCTCCCAGACCTCTTGCGGGGTTAGTGGGTTGTCCACGATGCCCCGTTGCTAATGTTTGGGGCGCGTATGGATGACCTGCAATAGTGTGTCCCTCCCTTGATGGACCTGGTCTGGCTGCTTATTGGGAGTCTCGAATGTGAAGAGGTTTGTATAATATCTTGCGGCGTAGTCCGCAATTGTGTAATCGTTGGTCGCAGGCGGGGCAGCGTCGTCCAACGGGTGTCTGAGTCTGGAACAGTAGCAGCTCTTGCTCTAGCCCCGACCTTATTGAAGAAGGCCTTCACCATCGTGCTGTCAGTGTGTTCCTTTTTTATTTCCACTTGCACTCTCCATGCCTGTGTCTGTTGGTCCACGTAGGCCTGGAGGTGGTCCCAAGCCTCTTGGAGTTTCTCATAGGAGGGGTGGTGCAGGGGGTTATTCATCAATTCTTCAACTCATTCTAGCTTCAGCATGAGGGCGTTCTAGCCACAGCCTGACGATTGGGAGGGCGTCGAGCTCTGACGTTGGGATGTGGATCTGCTGTCCATCGCCGGGTCACGGGTGGTGTTGAAGTCGCCTGCTATTATAACCGAGGCATCGTAAGGCAAATGGTGGTGGAGGGCGAGCCAAAGGGTGTCTGAGTCTGGGAACAGTGGCAGATCTTGCCCTAACCCCGACCTTATTGAAGAAGGTATTCGCCATCGTGTCGTCAGTGTGTTCCTTTTTCATTTCCGCTTGCACTCTCCATGCCTGCGTATGTTGGTCCACGTAGGCCTGGAGGTGGTCTCGGGCCTCTTGGAGTTTCTCATAGGAGGGGTGGTGCATCGGGTTATTCATCAATTCTTCAGCCCATTCTTCGAGGTCCCACATGAGTTTGTCAAGGAGAGCTTTTCGGTCCCTAGCCCCATCGTTGAACCAGTTCCTCTTTCTCTCGACTTCGATTTTTGGGCTCGCTAGTATTCCCAAAAGGTGGTGACAATTTCTTTAAATTTAGGGAGGGGGAGAAGAGCGGAATTGAACTTGTAGAACCCAGGTCTACGCTGGATGTGGTTATGGAATGACAACCCCAACGTTATCATCCTGTGGTCCAAGGACTTACATGGGCTAATCGTTGTGATCTTCGTTGTGGTAGCGAGGCCCATCAAGTCCTTCGACACTAGTGTGAGGTCTATTCGTGAGTTGGCGAGGCCGTGCTCAGCACTGGTCGAAAGGCATGTATATGCTTTTTGGGTGGGGTGCAGCAGTTTATATGCGTCCTCAAGTTGTCTGTCTGCCATAAAAAGCTTCAGCATGAGGGCGTTCAGGCCACAACCCGACAATTGGGAGGGCGTCGAGCTATGAAGTTGGGATGCGAATCTGCTGTCCATCGTCGGGTCAAGCGTGGCGTTGAAGTCACCCGCTATTAGGGGCATCGTCAGGCAGATGGTGGTGGAGGGCAAGCCAAAGGGTGTCTTAGTCTGGGAACAGTGGCAGCTCTTGCTTTAACCCCGACCTTATTGAAGAAGGCCTTCGCATCGTGTCGTCAGTGTGTTCCTTTTTAATTTCCGCTTGCACTCTCCATGCCTGCATGTGTTGGTCTACGTAGGCCTGGAGGTGGTCCCAGGCCTCTTGGAGTTTCTCATACGAGGGGTGGTGCAGCGGGTTCTTCATCAATTCTTCAGCCCATTCTTCGAGGTCCCGCATGAGTTTGTCAAGGTGAGCTTTTCGGTCCCTAGCCCCATCGTTGAACCAGTTCACTCTTTCTCCCGACTCCGGTTTTGGGGTTCGCCAGTATTCCCAAAAGGTGGTGACGATTTCTTTAAATTTAGGGAGGGGGAGCAGCGGGGAATTGAACCTGTAGAACCCAGGTCCACGTTTGATGTGGTTATGGAATGACAGCCCCAACGTTATCATCCTGTGGTCGAAGGACTTACATGGGTTAATCGTTGTGATTTTCGTTGTGGTAGTGAGGCCCATCAAGTCCTTCGACACCAGTGTGAGGTCTATTCGTGAGTTGGCGAGGTCGTGCTCACCCCTAATCGAAGGGCATGTATATGCTTTTTGGGTGGGGTGCAGCAGTTTGTATGCGTCATCAAGTTGTCTGTCTGCCATAAAAAGCTTCAGCATGAGGGTGTTCAGACCACAGCCCGACAATTGGGAGGGCGTCGAGCTCTGACGTTGGGATGTGGATCTGCCCTTCATCGCTAGGTCAAGCGTGGTGTTGAAGTCACATGCTATTATAACCGGGGCATCGCTAGGCAGATGGTGGTGGAGGGCGAGCCAAAGGTTCACTGTCCCTATGGGATCATTTGGCGCATACACATTAACCACGTAAAAGTCGATGCCGTCATATTGTAGTTTTACACAGACCCATCAGCCTTGGTGGTTGTCGTAGGCCACTAAGAGCGGCTTGAGCTTGGAAGAGGGTGGGAGCCAGATGGCCACTCCAGCAGATGCTCTATCCACAACAGGTGCAGAGTAAGATGTGTACCACCAAACACTTTTCTCTTTTGCCGTATGGGTCGGTGTGTGCTGCAAATGAGTTTCTTGGATGCAAATCACATCCGGCCATGCACTCGTCAGCGGGCATCTGAGCATGTCCCATATGACATCTATTTTTCCTTGTGATGTCTGAATCAGACCGTTCACATTCAGCGAGCGGATGTCAATGTCCGCTCGGGCCAGCTTAGCTGCCCATTGGGCCTGCCTCCTGATCGGGGGGAAAACCGGGGGGGATGGGGAGCGTTGGGGGGGGCAGGTGTACGGGAAGGGGGTGCAACGAATGTGCGGGGGTGGGGTGTGTGGTGTGGATTTCCACCTCAGGAGGGTGAGCAGAGTGCGGGCCCGTTATGGGGAGTTTATTCACTCGGGGATGAGCAGGTTGAGGGCCTGCATCACCGTGCCTCTTGTTTAGTCCATTCATGGGGGCTGGTGAATGCGTGTTTGGATGCGTGTTTGCATTAGTGTTAGTATCCATCATGATTTGCAAGTCACGTACATCACTTCCCAGTCATCCACGATCGATTTAGACTTTTGTTTTTACTGTGAGAACAAATGGCGGGTCATCCCACTGGTTATGTCCGTCCAACACATTCTCCTCTAGGAGGGTTTGCATGAACAACATGACCGTGTTGAGAGTCCAGGCCAATTTTTTTCTGAAGCGGTCTGTGGGAAGGTTCATTAGGTCGTGGTGGACAAACTATGTGAAGCTTGTCGGTAATTTTAGGGATCTAGCTTTGTGATCCATCAACACAATGACCAGAATAATGCCCTTCGAGAATGATAGTGAGGGAGGCAAAACGACACCCTGGACTCCTTTTGTGAGAGTCTCTTGACGCTAGTATTTTAGACGCTTGAGGATTATTGCCTTAGAGGGATTGCCCGTCCATCCCTCCATTGTAAGGCCCTTCGGGTCCGGTGGCTGTTGGGGATGGCGGTCAGGAGGAGGTATGAGCCCCAACAGCCATTGTCCACCCTCTCTTTCCTGGTTCAGCGGAAGTATGACCACTCCCGGCGGAGTTTCCATCGGGGCATCATCATCCACTTGCATCCTCACCCTATCTCTCAGTTTCCGGGGGGAACAGTCATTAAGTGTGTCAACGTCCGAGCCTCTTGGCAAGGTGTCATCATCATCCTCATCATGCACAATCTGAATTTTCTGATAATGATGTCGAGGCCAAGGGATGGCGAGCACAATCATTGTGTGGTCGTTGTGTTTCTCCCTGAGTTGAGGTTCCCCCTCTATGGAAGGGAGCTGGGTACGTTGTTCCTCCAGATGACCAGGTGCAGCAATAGGGGGGCCATGCAGGGTGGTGCAAAGTTCTTGGACCAGCAGCTTGGGCCAAGCCAGTCCCTCGTGGAGGAAGGCCTCCTCATGGGGGTTTGGGCAGCCCAAGCCCTGTGCGGTTTGTTTTTGACAGAGTTTGCTAGTCGCATACTCCTCAATTTTGTCCAAGAACTCGTTGACCACAAGGACAATGACCGCTCTCACGTCCATCCAGTCAATGGACGTGATGTCTTTATATTTTTCAACGGTGGCCAGAGCGCGAGGGATGAACATTAGCACTCGTTTGGTGTCAACCAAGTTATCGTAAGCAAGTCTGTCTTGTGCACCATCCGCCAACGTGGAGAATATTTTGGCGAGGGTCCACTCCGTCAAGCATGCCAACTTCTGTTTAACCTTATCGTTGGCTGCCAGCGGAGGAGGGGGACGGGGCGGGCTGGCGGGGCCGGAGTCTAAGACATTTCCACATCAGCGTTCACCTGCAGCGGGACTCGGTGTTGCATGTCCGGCGAGAGCTCGTCCGGGGCCATGGTCTCCATGTCCTGCAGCTCCGGTTTATCCTTGTCAGTGCCCAAAAGCGCAACAGCAGCAGGCTGCATCGAGTTGTTCAGTGCATGGAGTTGCTGTTGCATTTCTCTTTCCTGCTCAAGACGCCAGAACATCCGCAGCTGTTGTTGTTGTTGTTGCAGGATAAGCTCCTGTTCGCAGCAAAGCTGTCGCTGCCACTACGGGTGGAGGTGTTGCAAGATCTGTTGTTGGTGGAGCACCCTCTATTGGTGTTGCTGGTGGTGGTATTGTGCCAGCTGAGCTTGTACCAGGAGGTGGACCTGGTCCTCGCACTCCCTGTGTTGTTGGATTTGTTGCTGGTGCTGTTGGCAGTCATGCGGTTATGCTTGCTGCAACGAGTGGGCGTGTATGTGTTGATGCAAGAGATCTTATTGCCATTGTTGTTTCTGCGGTTGTTGGCATTGTGCCGCATGCTGCAGCTGGATTTGGTGTTGTGCCTCTCGGGCTTGCTCCTGTTGTTGCTGCGCCATCAAGTGTCGTTGCTTCTGCATTTGCATTTGCTGTTGGCATTGCTCCGCGTGGTCCACTTGGGCTTGGTGCTGCTGTGCTTGCAGCTGTTGTTGGCATTGTGCCTCATGCTGCATTACTTGCTGTAGTTGAATGTGCTGCTGTGCCCCCCGGGCTTGCTCATGTTGTTGCTGCTGCACCAACAGGTGTTGCTGCTGCTGCTGCAATTGCATTTGCTGCTGGCATTGCACCATGTGGTTCACTTGGGCCTGTTGTTGTTGTGCTTGCGGCTGTTGTTGGCATTCTGCCGCATGCTGCACAGTTGCTGTAGTTGGATGTGCTGCTGTGCCTCCCTGGCTTGCACGTGGCACTGCATAGCATGAGTCCGCGCATGCTCTTGCGGCTGTGGTTGCTGTTGCTCTGTGCTGGACAGCAAATGCGCTTGATGTTGCTGTTGCTGCTGCTGGCAGCATTCCACAGCCCCTGGCTCCTTGTCGCCGGTAGTGTTGTTGTCCTCATCAGACAGGGCGGTAGACGGCAGGGATGGTGTCAACGGGGCCTGCTGAGGATGAGGATGCCTGTTTGCAGTGGTTCCAATGTCGATACAACATTCAACCTCCTCCCCGGATTGCAGTTCGAGCGGTCATATCCGCGAGGGTTTCTAGGGCGGTGGGTGGGGCGGCTTGGAAGGAACGAACATGATCCCCCCTGTCAGTTCTGAGACAACCTCTACATGTGGGCGGGCGTCAGCACAATTGTGATTACAATTTGATTTTGCGGGTCTTCGGGTCGCGTCCGCCCCCACTCCCCCCGGGGGTCGTCCTGCGGGTGCTCCCCTTCCGTCTGGCCGAGGTGACCTGTCTGAGGCTGTGGAATTGAGGGCGGGTGGAGCAGTGGTTATTGGTGGTCAGATTGTGACAATTCTTCTCCTTGGGCGTGTGAGGGGGTTGGCCGTCGGGTGGCTGATCCCTATGTTGGGCAGAGGCAACGTCTTTGATTTTATTAAGCAGGGAGTCGGCTTTAAGCCATACTCCCTGAGGGGTGAGGCCCTTCCCTGTGCCTTCCTCAGGTTCCGGGTTGACCCCCCTGCTTTCCTGGTGATTGGGATTTGCAGTCATCAGTCCAGAGGCCTGTTGTGTAGACTCCCTGGCCCCCTGGCCCTGCATAGCGTGGCCTTGGGTTAGGAGGGAGGGGAGTTGCCGTTTCTGCTGGGTTTTCTTGTCCACTACAGACCTAACCCCGGCCCCTTCAGGGAGCTGTTGCTGTTCTCCCTGCCGCTGCAGCTAGGCAGCCACGGCCGTGTCTTTCTCGGCAAGCATATATCAGCCCATCTCAGTTTTGTGCTCCCCTGCCCCCCCCGCCCCCTGCCCACGTTCTTACTGCAGTGTAGTTTTGTTGGCCATTGTGGCCGGGCTATCTTGTACCCCGGCAGTGTGTTGTCGTCCTCTGTCCCCTGCCTGTGTGGCCCGTCCCTGGAGGAGGAGGGGTATGAGCGGTCGGTTGCAGTGGATTCGGGGTTCCACTTCTGTCACAGTTAAACCCCCATCAGGGAGCTGTTGTCATTCTGTCTGTGGCGGCAGCTGAGGACGGTGATCTGTTTCTCGGGGTTGGGGCTGGGGGCCCAGTCCAGGGTCCCGTGGTTGTCGCTGGGTTGTGGCTGCGTCATTGTGGGCAGGCCTCTTGCAGTACATATCTTTGATTTTATCAAGCAGGGAGTTGGCTTCAGGGGGGTGAGCCCCTTCGCTGTGCCTAACTCAGGTTCTGCGTTGACCCCCGTGTTTACCTGGTGGTTGGGGTTTGCAGTCGTCAGTCCAGAGACCTGTTGAGGAAACTCCCTGCCCCCCTGTCCCAGACTCTTGGCCTGAGCCCAAGAATCGAAGTTACGACCGTATCTGCCGTGTTATACTCTTCCATCCAACCACCTTGCTGCTGATCCTTCTAGGTAGGATGCCGCCACGATCAACTCTTCCTCGGGCCTCATGAGCTTATGGCCTCACGTACGTTGGCACAGTCCTCAACTGTGTGTTGAGGTTCTCATCCTTTTTCTTGTCCCTAGAAAGAGGTTTGGGAGCTGCCAACGGTATCTTTGGAACCCACCGTGGCTGGGGTCCAACACCTTGTGCCTGCTGAGCCGGTGGTTGTACCAGCTGAACAACTTGCTGCACAGGCTGCAGGGGCTGCTGCACCTTCTGCAAAGTTTGCTGAACCTGTTGCACAGGTTGCTGGACTGGCTGCTGCCCTATAGCTTCAGCCACCGGCTGAAAAGAAGAAGCCTACGGAACCATGCGTTCTTTGAGCACGTGATTTCCGTTCAATAACTGAATGGATTGAATGCGCGTGCATGCGGAGTTCAATTCCGCGGTTGGGTGCGGTGTGGGTCAGGGGGAGGGGGCGCTCTGGAGAATAGGTCGGGGGGGTGGAGGGGGAGGGCGGCGCTAGCTAGTGCGCTGCTATTACAATGCACGGGCGGGGGGGGATCGCACGGGGGCAGCTGCGGATAAGCTGCGCTTAGCCAGACCTTGCTGTTGGGTATGGCGGAGGTGGAGAGGTGATAGAGCATGTTGGCACTGAGGTGGAGGCCGCTTCGAGGGGGTACAGCCATGCACCTGTCATAGCCTGGTCTTGGCCAACGAGAGTTGGTAATCCTAGATTGGCCGCAGTAGGAAGGGGAGAGATGCGGGGTTGGTCAACAGGCAAGATCTGCACATCACACATATCAGTATTACCACCTGATCAGGGGCTTTGCCCTCTGATTATAGATACGGAACATGATCGTGTTGCAACAGCGGTTGTAGTTTTCTCTGTGCGAACAGCTGGAGATGAAGGACAAGAGTGCATCGACAAACGTTGACTTCCGGGAGTGAGCGAACAGACTTCATGCCGCGACCAGTATCGCCCACCGTCGCTGACAACGGGTTTCAAGCTGCGACCGGGATTGTCCATTGTTGTCTAAGCTCCTACTTCGGGTGTGGTGTTGCTCATGATTCTCTTACCTTTGGTGCTCTCACAGATTCTTCATTGTGTTTTTAGATTCAATCATTTGGCTGTGTCTTCTTAGTATAGTGCAATGACTTGCTGATTTCGACTGCTGAGACTGACTGCGAGGTTGTACAGTGTGTGTGCTGTGTGCTTTGCTCTGTTTTTTTGTTTGCACTGAGGGCGGCCCGCTGTTCTAAAAATAGCTTAGACTAACAGCAGTAGGGGCTGAGTGGTTACCGGCCCTAAGTGGCCCTGAGCCCTAAGTGCAGCAGTAGGACCGATTTCGTAGAGGCCGAGTAGGCCCTAACTGAAACGGTACAGGTAGGCCCTAAGCTAGGGCAGTGTAGAATCTACAAGAAGGTTGGCGTAGGACGGTTTGGGACTTTTGGCTGTTCATTTTTCACAAAGCAGCGTTGGAGCAGCCAAGCAAGTTGGCGGTGGCAATTGTCTGCAGGCGGCATCCTGAGACCCTTGCCTTGGACGGCAGCCATAACCGGTCCTCTGAAGATTGCCGGAGCTGCGGCAACCTCAGCGCATCTACCCCTGGGGGTATCTGCGTCTGGCCAGGCTACATCGAGGCTCCTCACTGAGTGTTTGTGGGTGGCGGCAGCCATAGCTGCCTGGTTCTTCGTCAGAGTTGTTCATCGGCACTAAAGACTTCAACGCACGATCTGTTCTTCATCTGGGTGGTTGGCGCTGGCCTCTGGGAGGCTGTTTTGCTTGTGCGCTACTAACTGGGTGTAGGATAGAGAGTGGAGTGTGGGGTTCTGAGTGTGGCGAGATACTGGAACAAACTCTGTAACGATATCTGTTTTAATTGGCTCTTCATCAGTGTGTATTCCAATTGTTATCCTCGCAGGTTTCTTCTTGTGATTGGTTGTTGGGAGTTTGTCAGAGAGTGAGAATCACGTGGTGTCTTCTCCTCATCTGTGCATGCCTGAACTTCCGCTATATACTCTGATTTGTGTACAGTGGACTTTGTCTCCTCTCCCCCTTCTCTTGTGCATGTATGGGCGTGTATGAGATTGTCTGTGTGTTACATGCACAGATATGCCATGTACGTAATAACCGAGGATCTGCAATGTGATGAAAATGACAGAATGGACAATGCAGTGCGAGTAGAATCTCGACAGACAATGTGCATTCTCATACATACAAAAGGTTCTGAATAGTGCAGGGAAGACTTTGATACAAGGACTGACCTGACAGGGACTGACCTCACTCACGTAGTAACAAGTAGCAAAGCAGAATGCTAGAATACTGATAACGAGCCCAATCAATGTTTGAACCCAGACCAAACATGCATCATACCCATCACCG